CCTGATACAAAAGCTGTTGATCTTCAGCCAGTTCAGCCATATCTGAGAGTGGGTTGATAGCTTGTAAGAATTAGGTGAACTGCTTGTCATCTCTTTTTCCTGTTAGGAAAAAATACTGATCATTGAGTTTTAAGGAATAAAAGTTGGTTGTGGGGAAGGCAGTGGACTGACCCTCACCAAGCTTTCAGTTCTAACTAATAAGAAGTAAGTATGGTGAGCAGCTTGTTTGTAATTCCGGGTGTATGGGCTGTAGGGAGAAGCACAGAAATTGCTGCCCTGGCAATGAGGAGGTTTGAAGAGAGCACTGGAAGTTTATGGGACAGAATTGTTGCTGCCTTCTGCCCCTGGCACTGATGATTGGGCTGGCTCATGGGCAGGGTGTGACTTACCCAGCAGTTCCCAGTGTGATGAGATCTGCTCAGGAGATATCCCGTGCTCCTGCTGCAGGGCCCTGGGCAGGTATCTGCTGCACACTCACACTCAGAGGAAAAAGCCATTAATGTCATTGTTTATGCTGTATTGGTTAATTATCCTTTGGATGTGTCTGCCTCCTTTTATTTTCTTCCCTGGCTTTGATTCTGTCCAGTTCGTTCCTGAAACAGGCTTGGCAGGATCTTCCTCCCTTATTCTCAGGGGTCAGTGGCTTCCTTCTTGCTTTTCTCTGTCCTTGTACACAATCTTTTTTGCTGCCCCAGCCTTTCTTCAAAAGCATGTTCTGTCCTTTGCTTCATTGAATAATGTCTTGTTTATAATTAAGTCAGGAATAAACTGTAATAGGGCTTTCTTGGCCAATATTTCCACAATGGCTTTCCAAAGCAAGTCTGAGTTGGAAGTGTGCAGATCTACAGTGGCTGCAGATCAGTGCTTGGTATCTGGACAGATGGCTCTTTGGGTATATGAAGTTGAAAATATCTGTAACAGTAGATATATCTCTGCCCCTTAGTGTGCAGTTTGGTCTTGCTGTGGCTCTGCCAAGATGGTCACATCCCTGGTCACGCTGTTGGGGCACTGGGGCACGTGGAGTGTCTGCAGCTGTGCCTCCAGCAGTGCCGGAGGGGCTGGTGCTGCTCTGATTGTTATTCAGAGATATCCAGTGCTGCAGGAAAGGTGCAGCCTGTGGCTGTCAGCCTTGTGTGTGTGTTTGTGGGCTTTCTGCTTTGTGCCACTTCTTCCAGCAAGATTAATTGATTGAACAGCAGTGGTTACTGGATAAAGGTTATTTTGTCTATTTTTTAATGATGTGGTTATTTTAAATGTAGGCATATTGGTGACAGACAGTTGAGGACTGGCAGTATTATGTACCACAGTAAAATCTCTTCAAAATGTAAGCTTTCTTTCCTTGATAAGTTTCATTATTTGCTGTATGATGAAAATTTCAAGAGGGTGAAGGTACTTGGCTTTCTGATAAAAAGCCTCCTTCTCGTGAAGCTGAGCACCAACGTTTGGTATTTCACTCAGTGATTTGCACACCGTGTTTGGCACAGTACAAATTTAAGAGGTGACTTTGCAGGTAGTGTTTGTGTCATACTGCTGCTGAACCCCTGCTTGTGAGCCCTTCCACAGTGATCCTTTGGGTCTTGCATCGGTGGAGAGGGTTTGATTAAAAACATCTGCAAGGTACAGTCTTGTTTTGTCCAAAAATAGCACAAAGTGATCTGAAATGCTGTGTATTGTCTAGAGTTTAGGCTGTAGTTTGTCATATCTGAACAGCACATTAATGCCAGGCAGTTGATAACAGAGTAGACAGTACTGACTCCCTTTAGAACACCTAACAATACAAAACTGTGATGTTGCTCGTCTATGGAGAAAGGTCCTGCCCTTCCTCACTAACCAAGTGTCTTACCTGCTTTGGATTTCTTCGTGTTATCTCCACTGGAGTTACAACGTGGTACCTACCTGATGTGCAGTGGCTCACAAGTTTTCTTGTTATTTAAACACTTGAACATTTCCATCCTCTGAAGATGAACAGTGCTGTGATCAGATGTAGGGACTACATCTGATGTTTGTTGTGTTTTAAAAACTTGGGCTTTTCCTCACAGAGAAATTACCATTACTTCAGGGCTGAATTTTTGGCCATCAGAATATATCAGCAGTTTGATCTTGGCATAGTAGATGGTAATTGTAATAGAAATGAAATTTGCTGTATTCTGACCCAAGAAATATACGCTTTGGGGCTGTAATTTTTGCATCACACAGCAGTTTAAGGGAAGATCCTTGATGTACCTGGAAAGGGCAACAACTGCTGCTTTCACTCCTCTGCTGTTGTTTTTTTAAATGTTTTAAGTTTTAAAACTCACTAGCGAAAGTTTTTTTTCCTAGTGGAAATGTACAGGCATCTCTGACAGGTTGGTGGTATTTGGGGAGAGTAGAGAGGAAAATCATGCAAAGACAGTGACCTGCTACAGTGCATCCTGTCATGAGGCTCTTCCTTGGAGTCATGGTGCTTCCTAATCTGCCTCTGCAATCTCTGTGGGGCCTTTGTGGTGGGTGATGATGAGTTCAACACCTGACTGCTAATTCCAGGGAAGGGAGAGAGCAAACCCTAGAGGAATGAGAATAGCTGCTGACTTCTTGGAAAGAGAGGTTTGGGCATTGTCTGAATAGTTTCTTGAAAGCCACTTTTTCATCCGGGCACCAGTGTGGGGTGTTGGAGGGTGACAAAGAGTTGATTTAAATGCAGACTTGCCTCGGGGCAGGGGTTGTGGTGTCGGTCAGGTGGATCAGTGTGAATGGCTCTGGCAAATCGCCAGGATGGTGCTTTTACTGGTGGTTTTACTGCTCCGGTCCGGCTGACTGTGCTCAGGTTACAGTTGTCATTAAGATCCACATCCATTGTATGTGTATGCACGACATCAGAGATAATCAATTTGGATATATACCTGCCCCTTAAAGCCCAGGATGGAAATCCGTGTAAAGAATTTGAGGCAAAAGTCACATTTACAGGAAGAACACAAGGTGGAAATGGACCAAAATAAGAGGGGTTTTGCATCTGAAAGTACATCTGCATTTAAAAAGTAGCAGTCAAGGCAATGTCTCAGGTGCTCATGGATGTGGATGATGCAGCAAGACACTGGCAGAGCAGGGGGCTGCAGCCCCTGCCCAGTGCTGTTTCGCCTTCTGGTTCCTGATCTGCTCAGCTGTAAGTTATTGTGTGGGTTTTGATGAGTGAGTGAGAAGAATTTCAACAATGTAGTCTGTAACATCATTACCTGCTTTTTTTTTCATATGACAGGATTTATCCTTTTGTATTTTCTTTAACCACATGAAGAAAACCCATAAAACTCAATCTGAAGCAGACTATACCTTTTATTAGAGAGGTCTGTTGTGTTTTTGTTGCTGGGATGTTGAACTGGGAATGGCAAGAGACGTGCCTCAAGCAGGGTGGTGAGCAGGACAGAAGTGAAGCGAGAAAGTGTGTGTTTGTACTGTGACAGCTTTAATGAGGAGCACATTGCTCGTGCTTATTGGCAGGAGAAATACCTCCAGCACTTTTTGAGCTCTTAAATGCTGAACCCACCAGGAATGTGTTGGTGGGTGCTGCTAAACAGGCAGGATACATCACAGCTGGGCACAGGGACTCCTGATTCCTGTGAAAACCTACTGTACCTTAACTTGGCTCAATTAGTCACAACACACCAAACCTCTCCTTGGCAGAGGTTTCTGCTGGTGGTGCACATCCAGCCAGAGAGCAAACGGCACAGGATCTGCTCTCTGCTCTTGGACAGTGATACAGAAATGGCATTAAGCAGCCTTAGGGTTTGTGTGTTGAAAGATTTTGGCGTTTTCGTGGCCTGGGAAGCTGAGTGGGTTTGGGTAACTGTACAGAGTTCATACTTGTGAGTGGGTTTTGGAGACAGGCAAGGTCAGTGTGTCCATCTGTCTCCTAGAGGGGAGTGGCTGCTGTTGTGCTCTCTTTCTGCTCTGTACATCCCAACCTCCCCCCCCCCCCCCCCCCCCCCCCCCCCCCGTCCCCCCAATTGATAAAACCTTACTTGCTGTTCTCATCA